TTAAATAAATAATATATGAACGAAAATATAATACAATAAAATTTTTACACATAAACGTAAATAATTTAAATAATATAATTTTATATTATTACCTGTACCGCAAAACTGTTTCGACGTATACTCCCGCGTTTTAATTTTACAAACTCAGAAATTAATTGACAACAATTAGTATAATATTTTTTCAAATAATCATAATAAACAATAAGTATAATAAAAAAATTTATCACAAAATTACTTTATAACGAAAAATCGCACGAACTTCTGAATCAAATATGAAAACATTGTCGGATTGTTGTATTAATTTTTTTATAATCGAGAGAAGATGTGAGGAGTTCCCCTGGGGAAAGGGTATTTATAGCCGGGAAAAGCTACAAGACGCGGTATCTGCACCGCGCCTTACAAAATTATATCAGATAAAACTAAAACGCGGCCCCTGTTCCGCTCTTAATATAATTGTGTTAAAGGTAAGACGCGGCCCCTTACCTGCGCTATACTCCTAGGTGGCCTAAGGCGCACCCCCGGGGCCACGCTTTGCACACATGTATGCTAAGTTAGCATAAGGACGATTCAGGGAGCGCGCCTTATCCCACGTGGCACCAAATCAGCGTAAAGCGTGTATCAGGGGGTATGCCTTTCTACAAAGGGTGTTAGATCAGGAAATGTAGTCTGAACAGTGCCTGATCGATAATTATACTGTTCAATGGTGATATATCGGGAAAATCGCCAAGAACAACGAAGTATGTAGAAAATATAAATCTATCCACCCACACAAGCACATCTTCAATCATTCCTTCTAGGTAAACAAATGACATGTTGATCAGTTAAAGTGTCATCATTGTTGGTCGTACTTCTCCTATACCAAGTCTCCTAAACATCGATATTGACATCAAGTTAGAGCTTGCTCCCAAGTCGCAAAGAGTCTTTCTCATATACTGATTTCCAGTTGAACATGGTATGGTGAAGTTCCCTGAATCCTTCCGTTTTGGGGGTAACTTGTCCTTTAGCATCGTTGTGCATCCTTCAGTCAAAGCCATACTTTTCGGATTGTCTCAGGAAAGACATGTTAATATACGGCTAATATACGGCGTTACCGGATACATTAAAAGATATTTAACAAATTCAGTTTAGCGCTATCGGAAATGTTGAGTAATAATAATGTAGTAGGTCTAAATCATGAAGAAATATTAAAAAATTTGACAACTGGCAAACTTAACTTGTCAATTTGTGTCGATCCAAATTAAAAATGTATCGATCCATATCAATATAACAAGTAAAAATATGACAAAACCGGTCACGAAAAGATAATACCGGTAAAGCGCTACCAGATATATTGAAAGTGTCGATACTTTAATATAAGTATCGACATTTTGTGAATTTAAAAGAGAAGCAGTTTTAGCGCATATAAAGTGTCGATACTTTATAAAAATGTATCGATCCACAATGATATAACAGGTAAAAATATGACAAAATCGGTATCAAAATGATAAAACCGGTAAAGCGCTACCAGATATATTGAAAGTGTCGATACTTTAATATAAGTATCGACACTTTGTGAATTTAAAAGAGAAGTAGTTTTAGCGCCTATAAAGTGTCGATACTTTAAAAAAAATGTATCGATCCACAACGATATAACATGTAAAAATATGACAAAACCAGTATCGAAATGATAAAACCAGTAAAGCGCTACCGGATATATTGAAAGTGTCGATACTTTAATAAGTACGTGTAATAAATTATCGATACTTTCAAAGAAATAGTTAATTATCCTTTCGAAAGTATCGACACCTGACATAAAAATATCGATACTTTGGTAGTTGTATCAATTAAATATAAATAACATATCCGATGAAAATATAAAGGTCATAGCTAAATATCCTCTGAAATTAGATAGAACGGACGAGTTTTTGAAATCGAAACGTAATTGTTGCTGCATTTCAGAAGACGTTTCTAAAGCGAAGTTTGTTTGTTTGTTGCTGCAGTCGAATAGAAAAATATGTTGTCAAAACCCTAGTTTTTTATTATTACAGTAATCGGAAATATGATTTTTATGTGTTGTTTGGGGTTTTGGAGTAAAGAAGCATTTGTGACCGATTACAGGTAGAAAGTGATATTCAAGATAAAATATAAATGTCGATACTTTTATTAAATATTATATGTAGAAAATGATATTATAGGCTGTATAAATGTGCTGACACATTTGTAGTGACCATTCAAATTATTTTGAAGAAAACAGTTTTACCAAAATAGTAGTTATCTATATTTGTATATTGAATAAAGTGTATGTAACAAGTATTTGATTTAATTTGCGTAAACTGGTATATGAAGAAAAAATGGAGTCAATGGGTGGATAAATTGTTGGTGGCGCAATGACTTTGAAATTGAGGCCGAGACTCGAAAGCAACCAAAGGGTGGATATATGTACTTCTAGTAAGTATCAATGTCTTTTTGTTATTATTGTTGAAATGATAATTGGATTAAAGTATTTAAGAACTTTAAATTGATGATAAATATTAAATCTTGACAGTATGACCGAATGCCAAAGGATGAAGGAAGGTGGCGAACACATCGGCTCGGTATGTAAATTGAAATTGACATTGAGTATTATTTAGCGTTAATGTATTGATTAAGAAACGTTTATGCTTAATATTAGGTGAGAAATGATGTGTTGGAGAAATGGAATTCGATGAGTGATGCTGATAAGGAACCTTACATCGCACAGTCGAAGATGGATAGTGAAAAATATACTAGTTTTATGAGAGAATATGTCTACAACATGTATCGACACTTTTTAATATTGTGTCGATACTTTTTGTCCAGAATGGATGCCAAAAAGGGTGAACGCACAAAGTGTTGATACATTTTAAAAACGTGTCGATCCAAAAAACATCGAAATCCATAATTATAATATAATAGGTAAATTTACAATGTAACCGGTATAAATATATCGGGTTTATGAAAAAATAGGTGAGCATAAAGTATCGACACTTGTTAAATTTGTGTCGATACATTTTGTCCATAATTAATGCCAAACGAGGTGCACGCATAGATTGTCAATACATTTATTAAAAGTATCGATCCCAAAAACATCGAAACGAAAATTACAATGTGATAGGTAAATTTACAATGTACCCGGTATAAATATACCGGTTTTATGAGAAAATAGATCTAAATAATGTAGCTACACCTTTTTAGTTTGTGTCGATACTTTTTCCAGAATGAAATATGAATGCCCAACGAGGTGCAAGCATAAAATGTCGATACATTTAAAATTGTATCGATCTAAAAAACATCGAAACCAATAATAATAATGTAATAGATAAATTTACAATGTTACCAGTATAAATATACCGGTTTACTTCGAAAATAGGTCAATATAAGCGCTACCTATTACATTACATAAGAGCTACCTAATATGTTATTGTACTTAATAATATTTCCGGTTAAATGCCTATTTTATTATATAAGCGCTACCTATTACATTATATAAGCGCTACCTAATATGTTATTATACTTAATAATATTTTCGATTAACTGATATAATATTACCGGTCAAAATTTTAATCGATCACTTATTTAACCGATCACGTCATTTTTTAACAGCCGTACAACATAAATTCCCCGTACTTTTAAGCTCGTCCAACCTTATTTTTATTTTTTTTGATAATATGATAAAGATCAGAGGAGTCTCAGTAGGAGTTTTAGAGTACAATGATGATGATTTAACTGCACGTGTGAAGGTTATGCTTTGTATTTGAGTTGGGTTGTAAAAGTTTTATTCATTTATTTAGTTTTTATATAGAATATCTTTGCTTTTGTGTTATAAATTGTTTTAAATTTTAAGTTGTGTTTTTAAAATTGTAAAGTTTAAGATTATTCATGTGATCGAATGTGACACTTAAAAACTATGACAAGTAAATATCGAGTTTACAATGCCACAATGATAATTCCAGTATTGTGACAATTATTACAAATCTCGTACTTCATGTCAAGATGAAACGTGTAGAACTCGATGTCCATTTTGTTGATAAGAAAGTGAAACAAGACAAATTTTATTTTAACTGTATTCCAGGTTTAAATCAAGTTACCAATATTCTTTTTAAGTTAATGAAACTCATTGGTAGAGCGCAATGCTCTTAATCTTGTGGTTGTGGATCGAGTTCCACGGTGGGCAATTCATAATTCTAACTGCCGGAGGTCTTCTACGGAAGTTGCTCCCAACCTGGCGTTGGGGGCAACTACTACCCTACCTCTCTCTCATCCATTACATATGGGAATAGGGTTAAGTAATTTTTTAATGAAGCAAAATGGTCATATATCAGTGGAACTAATATATATATATATATGGTATGACCATCAATATCTGATCTATTGATCGATTAATTCGGATCGAATATTACAGAGGTAAGGGTGACCTCCCAACTTAATTTACTCCATTCACAAATGTCAATATTCAAACTCCTGATCTTATTTAAGAGATTTAATGCCTCATTTTACTAGACCAACTAGTTGTCGGCGTATCAAATATATATATATATATATATATTTATTTATGAATAATTATTTATTTTATATATTTTTTGATTAAATTTAGACTTGATCTTAGGTGTTCATTATTTTATTTTATTAAATAATTTATTTTAAACAAGATTATTAAAATTATTAAACATGACTAAATATTTTTTCAAATATTTTTCATAAGTATATTTTTATAAAATAAATTTTAAATTAGTAATATTTTAAATTGTTTACTATATATATATATATATTTATTTAAAAAATTATAATTTTTATAATTTTATTATATATATATATATATTCACATTATAATCTTTGGTAGTGTCACCTTTAAGAAAATACCAAATGATAAGGCCCAATCTATCTTGGGCTAACGATGTATTACAACAATGGAGCCCGTCAGTTCTTGAAAGGAGAAGCTAGGGTTTTCATTTCCGTTAAGACAATATATACTCCATCTTCTTCTCTCTGTAACCTCTCCTTGCTACCAGTATTAGTGCAACCAACAAAGAAAAGCGGAGAGTGAGCAGCAGCAAGCATCGATGGTGAAGTTCCTGAAGCCAAACAAGGCGGTGGTCGTCCTGCAGGGCCGCTACGCTGGTCGCAAGGCGGTGATCGTCAAGTCCTTCGACGAGGGAACCCGCGATCGCCCTTACGGTCATTGTTTGGTTGCAGGGATTAAGAAATATCCGAGCAAGGTTATCCGCAAGGATTCCTCCAAGAAGACAGGAAAGAAATCCCGCGTGAAGTGCTTCGTCAAGCTCGTCAATTACCAGCACGTGATGCCCACGCGTTACACCCTGGATGTGGACCTCAAGGATGTGGTCTCGGTCGACTCCCTCCAGAGCAAGGACAAGAAAGTCTCCGCCTGCAAGGCTACCAAGGCGAAGCTTGAGGAAAGGTTCAAGACTGGCAAAAACAGGTGGTTTTTCACAAAGTTGAGGTTTTGAGATTTGGGTTTCTGTTATTTCTTATCGCTGATGTTGAGCTTTATTTACTGTTTTGAGCATTTGTTTTATCACCAGATATTGTTGGTTTTGAGACTGTTTTATGATAATTATGAGCATCGTTTTTATGATAAAAGTTGCGAATTGATAAAGGTTAAGCTAGTTTTATGCGACTTGTAGTGTTTCCCCGTTCAGGTCGAAGTGAAAGTAGTAGCCATTGGTTTCATTGTAATTATAAAGAGCTTTGCCATTATTAAGCGATGACAAATAAGATTTCAACATGAATACAATCGATAAAATAGGTAAATGTTGGGATCAAGTTTTAAAATAGAAAAACGTCTTATCTGGTGCATTAGATAAATTATTTCCTGAGGTGGGTGTAATGAACAGTGAAAGAGAAGCCGGTCGGAACACATGACGTTTTAAGCTATAGTTAGGCTAGCCATGGCAGGAGCTTCCATGAAAGCATCCATGTGGGTTTGACTTAATGCACCATCATAGCTTCCATGAAAAGCTTGAAGGGGCGGAGAGGGAGGTTTTGGCCAGCCATGAGCCATGGCAGTAGCTTCCCTGGTTTAATGCATTATTGTAGCTTCCATGGAAAGCTTGAATATGTGGAGAGGGAGGTTTTGGCCAGCCATGGTAGTAGCTTTCGTGAAAAGCTTGAATAGGTCAGGTGTTCCGACCATCTTTCAAAGACGTTAGTAGACCAGCCACTGATAATGACCCAAGGACAGGTCGTTCAACATATGTAATGTCGAAGATGTGCTCGAAGGAAATGAGCCTTTTTGTTGGGTTCATCCTCCGAAAGACTCGTTGGGGCAGTAACTTGGAACTGATTTGCTACGATATTTGGATTGCAGTGAAGTGTTGATCCTTAGGTGTAGTAACTGGTTTACATAGTTATGATCTGTAGGCAATAGTAGCTACTTTACATGACTATGATATTTGTAGTTTCCCTATTATACTGTAGGGGTGTATACGGTTCAGTTCTGAATTTTTTTTATTGGTCCGTCGGTTTTCGGTTTGATTAATTCAGTTTCTTATATTTTGAGTCAAATAAAAACGAAAATAGCTTTTAAGCATTACTCAACACATTTTAAAGTCGTTTTCATAAATATTTTTTTAAAAAAATTGTTTTCAAATAAAAAATAATGTGTATATATTATTTTAAGGCAGAGCTGTAATGATTTTGTTTTCGATTCAACAAAAAACTCCAATCCTAGCACTTGTACGAGGGGGTGGAACGAGCAATAGAATCATGAACCTCCCCTATTAATGCTGCATCTGGATAAATCATTAAAGGATGATGACGTTGTTCTTAAGTAAGAGGAATCCTTATGGTACCAGAAATTGATGGATTGAAAGTCGGGATTGTAATATTAGATTGTTTCACAAAACTACTTTGGCAAGGCGATCTTGGAACCATATTCAAGGTTTCATTTTTAAACAAGTTAATCACTCAATCTAGATCTAATATTCTCACATACACTTTCATTTTTAAAGTAATATCTCACATACACTAACCAACGATAGTGGTACCTTATGCATATCTAATTTACCTTAAATTTGTAATGGAGTGGATCGACCCTCAAATTCTCATTCAATCCATCTTAAAATTCTACCCTACTGAATCAAATATCAATTTTTCAGATCTGATTTACCTTGAAGTTGCAACAAAGCAAATCGAATTTTTCAGATTTAATCGTTCTAAAGTTGTAGCGGAACAAGTCAACCTACATTAAATTTACCTTGAATCAAATATCGATTTTACAAATATGATCCAACCTAAAATTGCAGTGGAACAAATCAGAATTTATCTTTCTGAAATTACAGTGATGCAAGTGGACTCATATTCAATCTACCCTAAAGTTACAATGAAATGAATCAAATATCAATTGTCTCGATCTGATCTATCCTAGAGTTGTAGTAGTGTGAATCGAAACTTTACTCGATTCATTTTGGTTGGACACAAATATCGTATTTCATAAATATAAAATATTGGTGTGATGTATTGTTAACGTATGTCTTACACTAGAAGACTAGAGATGAGTTGTAAGTGCTTACTTTCTAACCGCTCCTGCGATGCAATGGGGCAATTGGTGAAGGCTATGAAGGGGACAAAACCAATAAACCGAGGCGAGGGACCAGCAGCTTGCTACTCATTTTTTTAATGCTCAGCATCTCAAACTTAGCTTCATCTTCTCCAAGTAATCCCTCATTTATTATATTATATTATTGAAGAGTGAAGAGCAAGAAATCCAAATATTATTAATGCCAAGGAGAAAGGTTATTATTGAACCTCTGTGACTATTTAGTTTTTAGAAATAGAGAGAGGGATGGGTTTACTTAAACCCTGATCGAAGGGAGGCAGGTGAGGATAGTCGTTTTCCTAAAAAAAATTTAAAATTTCTATATATTTTAGATTCTTTTAATGTATTTTTCATGAAAAAATGTTTTCACCGTACCATAAAATTTTTGCATTCGTCCCTATAAACCCTCATCTACCTCACATTTGCATTTACTTCTAACTCCTGCTTCTAACGTCACCAATGGCAAAAGGTTCCCATGTCTCACATTATTTCATCTTATTTTTATCACATTATTTTTTTAAAATAATCATTTTTAATATGAAGTTTCTAAATTATTTAATGAATGATCACATGTGTAGTGTTAACAAAATTGTATAAGTTTTTGTTTGTGTTTGATATTTAACACTTAGTTTATTTTACTTTTAAATTGTTTTATTTAAGGATTATATAAAAAATGAATATATATATATATATATCATTATAATATTCATTATCATTTAAAAATATTCTTTTATAAAAATTGATACTATATTAATTTATAATAGGTATAATCTCAAAATCAGTCCCAACGTTTATCAAATTGGTCATTTTGCCCATATTCAATTTTTGGAGCATTTTGACCCCTAACGTTTCATTTTAGGGGAAAAAAACCATAACATTTGATAGAATAATTACTTTGTATGTTCTTCTTTTTTTGAAGCATTTTAGTCCTCAACGTTTCATTTAGGTTGAAAAAGTCTCCTATTTTGAAGCGTTAATTGTGTGTTAACTAATATTTTTTATCTATAGAGAGTTTTTTCTACCAAAGTGAAACATTGGGGGCTAAAATGCTATAAAAAAAGAATAAGGACTAAAATGATCATTTTGGTAAATGTTAGAGGCTATTTTTGATATTTTGAAAATTATAATATCTATTCAATAAGTACTTAAAGTAGGTAAAGATGAAATTTTCAAAGATTTGAATCTAATATTGACTTACATATTGTAAAATGCAAAAGCTTATATTATTGTCTAAAGATTCAAACCTTCATTTGCAATTTGCAAACTAACAAATGGAGACATTATTTTAATACGTTGATCGAATATTAATTAAATTGTAGATTTCTAAAGGGTGGTTTGAATATGTAAATTTATGCATGATATATAATTTTTTATATGATGTATAAATTATTTATATTTTATATTTTTTTCAGGCATAAATTGAAGGATATACTGTGTTTAAACACAACTGAACATGCATTTTTATTTGTTGTAATAATAACAATATCAATCGAAGTAAAACTTAATATAAAGAAATTTAGCCCTAGACGTTTGCATTTTTATCAAATTAGTCCTTATTATTTCTTAACTAAATTTAACCCTAAAATAAAAAAAAAGTAAGATTTGATTCTCTTTGGGAAAAATATTGATAAAGCTTTGAATTTTTAACGGTTTTATGTGTGAGGTCATTGTAGACACTCATTTTTATTCGGGTCTACAAAAATATTATATTATATTATTATTATTATTATTATAATATTATTATTTTTATTAATTTATATATTACAATTATTTTGCAGCCCCCTTCGAATGCCAGCTACCGTTTGTAGCTGTTGCCACATCATTGATCTTCTGTTCACGTGAGCATGCAACAAAGCTGGTCCCTGCAACACTCCAAAAGCCATGTCACTCCAGGTGGTCCCCTCATCTCCACGATGCCTCCAAATGGTACAGTTGGTCCCCTATTGTCCTCGTGCACGTAGTGGTCCCAAATGACTCGAATGCTCCGTGACAGTCTCTCCACGTCTCCAATGGCCTCTCGGCTATAACTCCACACATGCACCAACATCACAAGAAGGAGGCGGAAACCCCCATGACCCAAGATATCGAATGCAAATGGGGCCGGCTACAATGGATGGGAAAAGCACACCAAGAGGAGGCTAAGAAACTCCTCGCTCGTTGCCTTGATATCGGCATCTCTAATCTCCCCGCCATTGACGTCGTTGAACTCGTTGTTAGAGAACTGGAAACTGATCCTCTGTTTAACTCCGGGCATGGATCTGCTCTTACGGAGAAGAACGATGGAAATGGCCAATATTATGGACGGGCCAAAGAGGATATGCGGTGCCGTTTTCAGCTTAAGCATCGTTAAAAACCCTGTTTCTCTTGCCCATCTTGTTATGGACAAATCGCCACATTCTTATCTGACCTTCTCTGATGCCGAAGCGTTTGCCAAGAAACAGGGGGTGGAGTTGGTAGACAATGAATATTTCATTACGGAAAAGAACGTAGGCATGCTTAAGTTGGCAAAAGAGGTGAACTCGATTCTGTTTGATTACCGTATCCCAACGACCGACACCTGTGGTGCGGGCGCCGCCGTCATGGACAATCCTTTGCAGATGAATGGACTCCCCATCAGTGTCTACGCTCTAGAGACAGTCGGTTGCGTGGTGGTTGACAAGGAGGGAAGTTATGTTGCCGCCACCTCCACCGGTGGGTTGATGAACAAGATGACTGGAAAGATCAGTTACTGACCGCTCATTGGGTCCGGTACCTACGCTTGCGAGCTTTGTGGGGTGTCGTGCACCAAGGAAGGGGAAGCGATCATCCGAAGCACCTTGGCGAGGGAAGTGGCGGCGGTGATGGAGTACAAAGGGTTGAGCCTGAACGAGGCATTAGATTTCGTGATAAAGAATAGGTTGTGAGAAGGCAGAAGCACTCGCGCAAATGAATGGAAATGCCACAATTTTGGTTTTATTGATTTTTCTGGGTAAATTTCCTCCATAGCCCTTAAATTATGGTTAAAATTTTCTTCTGGTCCCC